TAAGCCAGACTGAGACAATTTCAAGGCTGAGGAAACCTTTGCAGGTGTTTTGCATTAATTAGCTGACTAGATTGGGACACAGGGAGCCTACAATGTTGAACTTTGTCATGATATTCTAATTTTGTGAAATACTGGATTTGGGTTTTTTTTGTCTTTAATCCATAATCATCAAAATTGAAACAAATAAAGGCTTGAAATATTTCACTTTGTGTGTAGTGAACTAATATAACATACAAGTTTCACTTTTTGAAACAAATTATTGAAATAAATGGACTTTCCTTCAATATTCTAATTTTTTGGCACATACCTGTATCTGGCTAACCTGTTAATTCATGGATTAAGAACATCCCCCAATCAATGCAGAGCTGCCGAGATGGTCCTTCCAGTAGGTTCTCCATCTCTCCCAAGTCCACAGCACAAAGTGTGGGCTACAACTACTCTGTTAAATACTTAATGAATACTTTCTGAAGCCACTGTACCGTATATAACATTAGTAATTTATAACAAGTATTACAGATGAATTCAGTGCAAACTAACTTATCGTGCTGATTTTGAACCATTAGGTTACATGGATATTATTATTTTTGACCCCTGAGTAACATGACAAAGACGTTCCTGGGAAAACTCATTTCTTTTGAGCGGTGCATAAATAGATTTTAGAGATTTATAACAAGTAGGTCACATGACAGGGAAACTACTGAAAAACAGATTGTTTTGTTTAAAGTAAAAGGAGTGATCACTCTGCAGGATGTGGTTACAAACTGTAGAATCAGTTTTTAGATTATTTTGATGCTATTAGGAAAAATAATGCTAATAAAATAGTATATTATGAATGATGTATTGACAAAATAAGATTCCTGAATATTTATGTAGGTGAACAGAATGACAGGGTCACAGTTAAGTGTGTAACATGTTTATATCTCTTCATGTTTATATTAATCCTGATGCATGTATTGAAAAATAACCTGTGTAACATCTTAGTCACTCATTTACAGACGGTCCCTAATGCTATTACAGGAAGTCTGACACAATTATAAATATAACATTGTTCAGTGTTTTTGTTATGAGCCGTTCTACGAAGACAAGTCACTGTAATCCTTGTAAAGTGCGACGCTGTGGTGGTGTTTCTCCGAATGGGTGTCAGGCTCGTTTTTATTCCCTTGTTGTTCGTGGTCACTTCAAACTGTCAGTAGGGCTGTGTATAACTTTACCTTCTGAATACTTTGATATGATGCCTCAGTTTTAGAACCCAGCAGATTCAAAATGGAACAAAAACTCTCTGGCACCATTCCCCATTAAAAAGGGCCAGTTCTCTCTAAATTAAGCTGAAATTGTTAAAAATATCTGGTCTCCATAACTCTTCACTTCACTGTTAGCCTAATAGTATAGAAACTTGTTGTTAGCACAGCTTTTGAAGTAGTACTTCAGTGAGACGGACACCGCTCTACTGGCAGCTTGACCCACTCTTCATAGACTGCTCGAGTTCTGTCCGGTTTGATGTGTGCCTCCTTCCAGCTGCTGTTGTCAGACCTCAACAGGTGTTCAGTGGGATTTAGATCTGGACTCATAGCTGGCCACCTTAGAATCAGGTGTGGTGCTTTGTGATGTTTGGGATCAGTGTCCTGTTGGAGGCGCCACAGCTCGGTGACACTGGTTGGAACAAAAATATTTTTTTAAATGTGACCCAGACTCATCAAACAGCACTGGCAGGAGTGCAGAGATGTTGGCTTCTAAAAGGCTTTAAGCGGGATTGACCTCTGACCAATCTGAGATGTTTAGTTATTTCTGCTTGATCAGTACGGTTGGTTGCATTATTGTAACTTCATAACAGCAGACTGCAGTGGAGCGCTGGGTGGAGTAGAGTGGATTGAGTTGGCGTTTCATGTCTGTGCTACCTTAAGTTACATACTGTAGCTTCTTAAGCTCCAAATCATCTTGTAATTGTGTTGATTTCTTGAGGCCATGTAACAGATACAAGGCAAGAAAGAAGCTCCAAAAACAAAAATCAGTAACCCTCCAAGTTTGACTTCTGGTCTTTTTTTTTTTTTTATATAAACAATTGTTTAACCAAAGAGCTTTGATTTTATCCCATCTGTCCCTTGGACACTCTGCCGGAGGGATTTTGGTTCAGGTCTGTTTTGGCAAACTCCAGTTTTCTCAAATTTTGTGGGTATCTGGGGAGAACAGTGAAACGAGGAGGGGTCACTGTTTTGGAGCCAGATGCTTTATCGCTATGCATAACTTCATGAATTAGATTACAAAAGGCTGTACTCCAGCAGGATGGTGGTCCACAATGAGTTCAGATCTAAATCCCACTGGATACCTGTGCAAAAGTCTGAAAACAGCAGCTGGAGGGGCCGCCTTCAGATCTGAGAGAGCTGGAGCTGTTTGCACAAGTAAAATGAGAATTGGCTTTTCAGCCATGACTATACATATAAACTGTCAACAATCAGCAAACATCTGATGCCAGACCAAAGGTTTAAAACAGTAAATCGCTTTTAATTTGGTTCTCTCGTTGACAGGTGAGCTCTTTTTAAACATGACAAATGAAGTGCATCGGTAGCAGAAGCCTGACAAGATCTGATACATGCTCCATTCAGATGCATCGGACACTCCACATTTTACAAGCCAACAGTGTTACTCACATCAAACTACTACAGTTCAGCTCTTGACCTGATAGAATAAAAAGGTAAGACCGATCCATTGCTAGCTACAACAGTGGCAGCAATACACAGGATTGCCCAAGCAGTAAAGTACACGTTCCTTTAAGAAACAGGGAGAGAGAACACGAAAAAACCTAACCTCTGGGTTTTAATCCCCAATTCAAGTAGTATTTACCCTTTTGTCACGTTTGTTTCAATTTGTTGCTTAATAAATTCAAGTTCAGCATGAAAACCAAAAGATGACAAACGTCCAGATAATACATGGATTGGTTGAGGAGGAGTCGACAAAAGAAGATGGAGGGAAAAGATGAGCGACATTCTGATTTCCTCAGCAGCAGGTGAGAAAGAATGTGGTGGGGTGGAGGAGAGGAGGCAGCCATTTTCTTGAGAGACAAATGTTGAGAAAACAGGAGCTGGCAGGACTTGACAGTGGAAACTCGTGATCAAACCTGTGTCAGTTACTAAGAGAATCCCTTTGAAACCCCTGTGTACAGTCACATGTAGGAGGAAGACTGAGGAGGAAGCGAGTCACATCAGGGTGTCCATGTGTAGCAACCCACAACTCCTACTCAGTTTTGCTCCTAGATGTAGAGTAAACAAGGGTTTGCATTTGGGTCCTGCTGCAGTAAACAAACCGCTTGAGCAAACTGGATTCAGACAGTAATCTGATTCAGGTTTGGAGCCCAGATGCCTCATTGGCGCTGAGCAGAGTAGCGCCCCTCGCTGGGCCCAGTGCCCCGTCCAGAGCCAAAGCTGGGTTTCTGAGCCATGCCTCCTCGGGTGGGGGGGCCTCGGGGTCCTCCGCCAGCTCCTATTCGCTCTCTGGGACCACCTGGACCTCCTGGACCACGGGGCCTCATGTCCCTTCTGTCGCCCTCCCTGGCCGAGCGCGTCTTCTTCTCCTCCACGTTTAGTCGGATGTCACCTCTGAACTTGATGGGCTGAATAAGGATAAAAGCTCATTACAGACAATTCATTTATTCTCTTTCCCAACAACTCAAGTCTCAGTTGCTTCAGGTTTAAATTGAGCAAACCAACTGTTGCAGATCCTACAGAACTCCAAATGAGGATCAGTGAGAACAAGGTTAAACAACAAGTAGCATAGTGTTTTTCCCCTTCTAAAATGCATCTCAGCAACTAACTGAGGTTATATTCAAGTGTTTCTCTGTTTGATGCAGCTCTAAAGTCCCCACCAATGAAAAGTGGAACTGGTCTGAAACATAGTCTTACCCTGCTGCTGAGGATCTTCTGTACGGGCTCAGAGTCGTCAAACACCACAAAGCCGAAGTTGGGGAGTTTTCCACCACTGTTGATCCTCAGCTCCAGGACGGTACCGTACTCTGTAGGAGCACGGAGATGCTTACTGCAGGTATCCAACAGTTTACCATCATAGTTACCAAACACTGTCTGGTTAATAATACACCCAAGAGCTTCTTTAACTATTCAAAAGCCAGATTTTTCCTCCTATCTTTTAATTTTTACTATTAAAATTTCTAAATAAATTCACCAATTTCCCCAGAAACAGGAAAGAGTCACTATTAGCATCAATTAAGCTCAGTTTTTGTAACATTTAATGCTCCCTCAACAGTTCTGCTTGGAAAGATGCTGTAGTGCACTGCAGTCAGTCAGCATACAGCTCCTCCAGTATAAATGACCACATGTTCAGCACCGTAGACAAGGTCAGTATTTGTCAGCTGCTTTTTCAGTGCCACCAGCTCTGACTTACGTTCAAAGAACTCTTTCAGTTCAGTCTTGTCCACGTCATGAGGGACGTTGCCCACGAAGAGCTGGTGGGCGTCAGGGTACCTGGTCACTCTGCGACCCTCCGACTCGCCTTGCTCACCTTCCCGCGCTGAAACAAACAGGTCAACCCAGGGACCAATGAGCCACATTGTGAGTGTTTTTAACAGCTACCAGTAATGACATATAAATGTTAATCACTGACTCTGTGAATGTTTTTAACAGCTACCAGTAATGACATATTGTTTCTCTCCAACACAGGAAATGTATCAGATGGAGACTGTGCAGTGCTGCCTAAACTTTTAACACTCCTACACCCGGGGTCTCTCGCTACCCGATTGAGTAGTTCGTCTAAAGGTTCAGAGAATATACAGTATGCAGCCGAAAACGTTACACAATAGAACTCTGCTCAATAAACCTGCCCAAACTGCAAACAAATCAAATGCACAGATGTCCCACCCTCCATTGGCACCTCAGTAATATTTGCCAGTCACCCGTCAATGAGTTACACTGCTGTTAAGGTTGTTTACGTCAATTCAGTGATGTTAGCAACTCTTTTGGACAATGTTGCATTAAACCTTAAAAGTCTTTACTTAAATGAAACGAACGTTACTGTAGAAGAAACAGGAGGTACGGTGCTGTGGATTCAATCAGTTGTACTGTGGCCTGTAGCACGTTTAATTTACATTTCAGTAGAGTAAGTAACACGACACCAAATTTGCTATGTACCACTGGATGTGCTGCTAGCAGTCAATGCACTGGTGCTATAAAGTGTCTTTTTCTATGATTTCTAGAAGGGTTGTGGACGTTTATTTGCAGCCAACATCTCCTCGGGATGTGTAAGTAACAGTGTATAACGTCTTTTCTTTAATCAAATTGTAGCAGTTGGGCACCAGGGGGTTTGAAGTAGCCTACCATAATGGACCTCCATAGTTTGTGCTGATAAGGAGCCCAGACTACAACAAGGTTCCACTGTTTTTACAACACCTACGGTACCTGATTTGTGAAAGGAGGTGCATATGACCATGGCAATCTGATGTGATGACTTTTTTGTTTTTGATACAAATGTGTTGGATATTAATATTTGATAACTGATTACAAATCAATTTGCTCATTCAGCTGGTTTTGTTTGGAGATCTGCTTGAAAATTTTGATTGTGTGATTAAATGCAGTCTAATGTAAAACATGATTAGTTATCAACTGCTTTCAAAGTAACTCTCCAAGTAAAAAGGCTGTTTGCCCTCAGGACCACAACAGCACACATCTGATGGGATCAGGTTTCGTCCATACCAGCTGCCTAGTGCTCGTTTATCTGCCAGTTCCATTCAGGTAGAGCCTATTTAACCACTGTGTGTACACTCTACTTGGATGCATGTGTGTACCTGGTCTAGGCCCTCTGTGGACCGGCGGCGGACCTCCAGACCGCTGTTCCCGCGGCCTCTGGTCTCTCTGTGGTCTCTGTGTTGCTGTCTGGGACTCTGACTTCACTTCCGCTCTGGGCTGAAAGAGTCAACACGCACATCTGTTTCTCCTGTTGCAATTTATCAACAATTTTTAAAGAAACAACTATTTTCATTATCGTCACAAAGGTGTAGCCAGCAGGGGACGTGTGTGTCCTTTTGCCCAGCTCTGCTTTCTGGGAGAAGCAGCAGCACAACATAAACTGAGAAAGTTCACACTTAACACATCCATCTGCACAACATACTGTAATAGGTGACATGGTGTTCCCTTTTAAAACGGCGACATCTGCTGCTAAAATAAAGGCCAAAAAGGCACAGCTACTTTGAAAACTTGTTTGCTTCAAATAAACGTTTACTTCTTAAGAAAATAAAACTGATTTTTGCATTTTGTCAGAGCTCAGAAATGAAGTTGCTGCTAAACACTAGTTACCTTTTAAAATGGAGGGAATTTAAAACTTAGAACCACAATGATTCATGTTTTATAAAACCTCCTTTTCCACACTGATTAACAATCACATTAAATAAAAACAAACTAGAAAAAGGTTTGTCTCAGTTACTGAAAAACTTTGATTTGCATTCATTTGCCATATTGTTATTTAATATTGTAAGACTGGTTGCTTTTTCCTGAATTACATTTTTTTTTATTACTCCCCAGCCCCAACTCAGAGCTCTGACAGAAACTATTTACCACCTGATCAGACAGCTACTTTTGACATCTTAACCACTGAACTATGATGCCAGTAAAGTCAGGTTCAGTACTTAAAACCTACCGGTGCTGTGGGAGTGGCTTTAACGACATGTGGGGGGATTCCTGAGACTGGGACAGCCCCACTGGGAGGGAGGTTCTTACTGGTGACCAATGCCCAGGAGAATGGCTGCAGAGGAGAGAACACAGGACAAATTTATCAGGGTAATAATTATCCCATCCTTGTCCAGAATTACATGCAGTGACTCTGCACAAGCAAGAATCAAAACAAACAGCTGACAATTAACAGATGAAGACATCCATGTTCAACACTGCCGATATACAATGTTGGAAGCCCAACAAAATGTGGATTTCAGATACTCGCTATTGTGCACATCTCCTTTTTCCTCTGATTCTAAACATCAATAAATGCAACTTATGAATTTAATGTCATTTCAAGATAGGTCTCTCAACCGTGGCACTGAGCGATGTCACGGAGTACGCCACAAGAGATGAAATATAATTTGAGCATAGTGCGATCCCTTCACTGCTATATTAGCCTGTTTGCTATGACACATGACTTGTCCTTCATAAAGTACATTCTCTATACAGTAGTGTTTGAACAATGCCTGTGTTAAACATTACAGTAAAAGCCTGTTCAGCTCTTGGCTCACTACCAGGTATATCATCAAGTGAGAGGAAGTGTGAACTGTTGATGTTCATTCTTTTCATTATAATACTTTGATTTGTATTGATGTTTCATTATCAATTGCTAATTTTGAGTGACACGTTTGTGCATGGCTTGCTAAAAGTTCTCTCTTAGATCAGATCCTCTTAGAACTCTATAGTTCAAGAGCCGGCGTTCCCGGCGCATAGCGAGTAAACAACTAAGCATCTCAGCTCCCAGTGTAATTTTCACTCACTTTTAATAATAACTGTCATTTCTGTATCCCCACCTATAAGAGTTTTTCCTGAACACTCAGACCTACCCTGTTTTCTTCTGGCACGGCGGGGGTGGGCTCAGCGGGCACAGAGACAGGTTCTGTAGTTGTTGGGGTGGTGGTAGGGCTTTTCTCTATCTTGTCGTCAGCTGTGTGTGTGTCCGTCTGCGTCTCGAGCAGTATCTCCGACTTCAGCTCCACAACTGCAGCCTGTGCCTCCTTCTCCACCTCAGGCTCTGGCTCTGGACTTGCTGGTGCCACTTCCTCCTCGTCACCAGGAAGTGCTGGCTCTGAACTACAAGGGAGATGTGCCACAGTTCAAACCAAGAAAACAAATCTCTCTCTTGTGTTGCTGAACAATTCAGACTGGTGACAATAGACCGTGGAACCTAACACTACTAATTTGTGTTTGTGCTGTTTACGTACTAGCGATGGGCATTTCCAGCTAAGATACTTGAAATAATTACAGAGACATTACTTGAGACATGCAGCTTTAAATGCTGCACCATAAAATTACATCTTGGGTCCCATTCGAAGAACTGTGAATGGAAAATTTGTGCTACTGTGCATTTTCCTTTTGCAGATAGAACAGTATATACACACACACACACACGAGTTCAAAGTTCAGGCCCCCAATCCATACCAGGCTGCTGGGTCGTAGAAAGGAGTCGACTCATCCGGTGTGACGTCAGGGGAGGGAACCCTTTCCTCAATCTCTTCCACCTCATCCTCAGACTCTGAAAACACACAAACATGTTCATGACAGTGAATGGCACTTCCTGCTTCCCACTGCTCTTAATGGAATAAAATGTCTGGGTTCAAACCAGTTTATACCCAACTAAAACCATCCCAAAACTATGGCTTAATGATCAAATACAATTCCCACTCAAATTAAATGATGACTGCACTCTTAAAAGTTATTTCTTGTGAAAAATTATAGCGCCTTTGCTGTGCTTATACTGCTCATTTCTTGTGAAAAATAGCGCCTTTGCTGTGCTTATACTGCTTGATCTCACATGGTTTAACTCTTATCTTCCAGAAAGGAGCTTTTCAGTTATTTATGGGGATTCTCTGTCTTCTGTAGCCTGTGGAGTTCCTCGGGTCCGGAGCACAGGACTTGTTTGTTTTGACTGATTGAGGCCAGTGTGTCTACCGCATGTGACGTGTTGCTGGTTAACAACCCATGATGCTATAGTCAGAGCTAGGCTACCTGTTGGAGTTAATTTCACTACTTTGGGACTGTATGTGGTTGGGGGGAGGAATATGGGGTTTCTCAGTTACCCGCTTTGTTTAGAGGGTTACACATCTCTTCATTGGTACATATACTGTTTACCTATCTATGGAGGAGAAATTCAAATTAATTAATGCTGTCGGGTTCATTGTGCTGTCAATGGGCAAAAGGCGGACTCCACCCTGGATAGATCACCAGTCTGTCACAGGGCTGACATGTAGACAACCACACACACTCACTCCTACGGGCAATTTAGTCTCCAGTCAACCTAAGCTGCATGTCATTGGACTGTGGGAGGAAGCCGGAGTACCCAGAGAGAACCCACGCAGGCACAGGGAGAACATGTAGACTCCACACAGAAAGGCCCCAGGTCGGCTTACTCAGCACTGTAAAAATAAATAAATACATTTAATGTCTCACCCTCTGGAGGCTCAGAATCCGAGTCGGCAAACACCTCATCCTGGTAACGAAACACATCGTTGTGGACGTAGAATTTGTTTGCCACTGTCCCCTGCAGGAAGCAAAAAAGCAAACAAAGAATTTCTAGCTTTGTTTTTTTTTTTTTCCTGTCAAAAAGCATCAATCAGGTCCTGAACCTGTACCATCTGACAAGACTACAAACCTCAGGTGCTAGCACAAAGGTCTGCATGAACTTCCTCATGGGCTGCATGTTGTTGGACAGCTCGCCCATCACCTGCACCACCACCCCCTCATTCAGGGTGGCGTGGGCATCCACGTGTCTGATCTTAGTGTGACAGTCCCGGAAACTCAGAGCCATCACCCTCTTATGGATCTCCTGCAGAAGAGTGGAGGTTGAATCAATACCAGCCAGAACAGGAATCGTTCACCTCTGACTACCAGCTCATCCAAATCAACTGACACCATCGAAAATATTCTCTCAATGCGTTTGCCCTTTGTTATTTTGTTGCTTCGTTTACTATCCTCACTATCTGATATTTTGTCAAGGCTTTCATTCCAAGACAAACTTTTGCTTGGCAATGTTAGTCTTTACTTCCTGTCATTTTAACTTAAGGGACAGAAAAAGATCTGTCAAGATCACTGCTGCGCCAAGACTTCTGGGAATTTTATTTAAACCCCCAAAGAAAATTTTAATTAAAGGCAAGTAGTATCAGTGTAACTTATTAAAATAAATACATGAAGACTTGGTTCCAGGACTAATTTGCTCTGACTCGCTGCTTTTCTTAAAAAAGAAAAAAGTTATTTTACCCTTACTCATAACTGCTGCCATCACATTAAAAGTTACTGTTCATTACATTTCATGAACATATGATGCACACCCTACTGCCTCTATCTGCATTCATCCATAAATATTTGCAGTTGGACTTCTCCTGCTGCAGCTGCTTCACATGCCATTCTTACTGCTCGTGCCTCTCTCATTTAAGAGGATCAGCACCATTTGGAACACACGGAATGAGGAAGCCAATGGGAAGGTCACACGGAAGGACAAGTGTTTTCAACTGTCCAAGAAATGTATTACTAGCATCTTAAAACAGCAGAGAACAAGAAACAGATCCACTTAAAATCCTCAGACTAGTTTCATTTGCGCTTTAGTGTTTTTGGCCCATGGTTTTGGTACGTGGGAGTGAAGTGCGGTGCCTCTCTATGGAAAGAGCATTTTGTAAAGCTGTTATCTACTGGATGAAGTCCACTTACAGATTGTCCATAAACAGCCTCTACAGGTTTGCCGTTGCTGTCCAGGCCTCCATGTACATAGGATGAGTTCTTTCCATAAAACCTGAGCAGAGAGATGGAAAGTTGATTTGCTCCATGAGGACAATTTACATGTGCATCATGCGAGTCTTAATTCTACCAGACAGGCCTAATCACAGGACAGATAAACAGCTGGGGGTCATACCTGTGCAGGTAGTCAGGGGCCTGGTTAAGGAGTGTGTAATACTGTCGGACAAACTCTCGCCCGACCAGCTGGGCACTTGGCTTCTCCATCACCATTTCTTTGGTCAACTGGAAGTCTCTGAAGAGGAAGAGGAAGGTCATGTAAACGAGGACATGCTACTAAATGCGAGAAGAAACTAGTCTCTGTTCAGCTTCAGGTCTCTCACACTCATCAATAAGCCTCCATACATCTGATTTAGTTGCAAGTTTTAAAACCAAAATCACACTCATTCTGAAATGACTAGATCCATTTAGTGAAAATGAGGGACAGCAAAATAAACAATTTGTAGTGTTGGTCTGACAGAACTATGTCATTTGCAAACGTCACACTGTGGTTGGGGGGGGGCGGTTTCTACCTGGAAATTTTGACTTGACATTTTAAAGACCATAGATTTTTGTCACACCATCATATGCACTGCTAATTCTAATACAAAAAATAAATCGGTTCTCTCACGGTAAAACAAGGAAGTAGACAGCATTTCCAAATTCAAACATTCACATTAACCTGAGACTTGCAAACTACAAGTGAATCATGGGGTATTAGGACAACAGCTGTGATAACCAAAGAACATTAGCCCCAGTATCACACATGCATCAGTTTGCATTTCAGAGAAAATGTCTTGACTTGTGAGGTTTATTGCATTCCTGTGACGATGAATCAGAGCAGTAGCGCCCTGTGCCAAGACCAGTCGAAGCGTAAATCAAGTCAGTTAAACATGACTTCTGATTTCACAACAGCATACAACACCCAACTTATTGCACTACAGGCTCATTTTGAATCTTTTTCCCTGAACCGTTGAAATGATGCCGTAGTGAAATGTGCAACCTGCCGAGTGTTCACTGGCCCACCTGAGCGCACCGACAGGAAGACAGCAAAACAAACCCATCATCTGCCATTTTCATACAGAGTGGATACAAATTCGAAATTCATTCAGATGTTACGTCGGCAACACTTTGCCTTTATACAACTGCTGCTGGTCTAACAAGTCACTCACTGTGACTGAGGAACCTCTACAAACAAAAAATGTTCATTTGTGTTGGTTTTTCATGTGAGGTCAGTATTGCTGATAAACACCTCATCCACCTTAACACGCATCTTTGTCAGAAATGGAGTGAGATACGAGCTTTGTCTGAATTTATAATGCATTACTGCCGCCCTCTTTCAAAGCATCACAAATTAAGGCCAGCGTTTTGGGCAGAGACTGGTATTCCTTTCAGTATGCTATGATACTAGCAGTGGTAAACTATAACGAGACTCTGGTTAATTTTTGTTGAAGACCTGTAACGGCTGCCTGTGATGCATCTGCAGACACTGACTTGTTTCCAAACTCGGTTCATCAGACATTCCATATTAAACAAACTACACTACTGAGAGGAAAACAAACTTTATATGCAAATGTGAACAAAAAAGTTACTTCTTGTTTCTCGCACTAAATCTGACTGCCTGTGCTGAATGCACCTCCACATGAACACATTTCAAACATGCACGCTCACATGCATGCTTCAACAGACCCACATTCTTCACCTTTTCCTGTACATTCCTATTTAGTCAACATGACCTGTTGCTTATGTCGCCATCAAATGAAAGCAGTCACCTAGATGAATATTTGCACACACGCTTGTCAGACATGATGGACCGCCCACTTGCAGCAAGTTTCAAGTCTCTGCTAGTTGATTTTCACTCTGCACTGACAGGAACTCAAACTGATGTCTGTCTAAAAGGTAGTTGAGCCCAAAGAAGAAGACAGCAGGATTCTACATCTGTTACTGTCAGCCACACTCCTTGAAACATCCAGCTCATAGCTCTGTTGTCCCATCTGAAATTATATTTAGAATGGCGCACCAAATACTGTTTCATCCCTCTGATTGTAGGACTGCCTCAAAATGACTTACAACAATCCGTCTGCTGTGGCTCATTTATGTGTTTTTGCACCAGTGGAGGTCTATGCAATTCACACAACAGGCTACCTTTTTTGGATCCGTTTACAAAGCATTTTGGGTTTAATTAGGTGCACTGAGTTTACGTACACTTAGGCTGAAGTCATTACAATTTTTAACCACTCCACAGATGTGATGTTAAACTCTTGTTTGGGCAAGTCGGTTAGGACATGCTTTATGCATGACGAGTTTCCAACAGCTGTTCACAGGTAGATAATTTCATTATATCACTGTTCCAGTGGGTCAGACGTTTACATATACTCAATTGACTGGGCCTTTAAAACTGCTTGGAAAATGATGTCATGGCTCCTGATTGGCTAACCGACATCATTTGAGTGGACAAGAGGTGCCATCATCCCGCTCAGGAAGGAGACACGTTCTGTCTTCTAGAGATGAACGTACTTTTGTCCAAGCGGTACAAATCAGTACCAGAACAGCAGCAAAGGACCTTATGAAGACACTGGAGGAAACAGGCACCAGAGAATCTATATCCACAGTAAAATCAGTCCTGTATCGACATAATCTGAAAGGATGCTCAGCGAGGAAGAAGCCACTGCTCCAAGATGCCATTAAAAAAAAAAAGGCAACCTTCGGTTGGCAGCTGCCCCAAGAACACCATCCCAACCATAAAGCACAGGGGTGGCATCATCATGTTGTGGGGGGTGCTTTGCTGCAGGAGGGACTGGGGCACTTCACTAAATAGATGGCATCATGAGGAAGAAAGATTGTGGATTTATTGAAGCAACATCTCGAGACGTCAGCCAGGAAGTTAAAGCTCGGTCATAACCAGGTCGTCCAAATGGACAATGACTTGGGGACAACAAAGTCAAGGTACTGGAGTGGCCGTCACAAAGCCCTGAGCTCAATCCAATTGAAAAAATGTGGGATGAACTGAAAAAGCGGGTGAGTGAGGAGGCCTACAAACCTGACCCAGTTCCACCAGTTCTGTCAGGAGGAACGGGCTGAAACTCCTGCAACTTATTGGAAGAAGCTTGTGGAAGGCATCCCAAAATGTTTGACCCAATCAATTTAAAGGCAATGCTACCAAATACTAACGGAGTGTATGTAAAGGTCTGACCCGCCGGGAATGTGATGAAAGAAATAAAAGCTGATGTAAATCTTTTTCTCTACTCTTATTGACATGTCACATTCTTAAAATAGTGATCCTAACAGACCTAACACAGGGAATGTTTACAGAAAAGAAAGACAGTTTCAAATGTATTTGACTAAAGGTGTAGGTAAAAAGAAAACCCTGACTTCAGCTGTATCACCACCCTTTCTTTTCAAAACACATTGATTCAGAGTAGCATTGGGTACATGTGATCCAAAGCAAGCTAAAATATGCAAACACCGGGGTATAGTCATTCAGCAAAAAGGGAACAAGTGCCATACTTAATGGATTGTCTGGCACACCTGGTCACGCCACCTGGAGCCATCTGTTGTTTTGGCACGCACTTAGCAACGACCACACAGAGCAAACATTAAATGAGCCACCGGGCTAATCACTCCAGCTAACATTGGCAACGACTTGCAGTGAAGTCGTAGAAGAAATACATGCAAGGGCGTGATACACTGCAGCAGCCGTATCACAGAGCAGCTTGTGTAAAAGTGCAAGCATGGCACGCAGACAAAGGCCACGCCGTGCCCGCAGTGACGGTGCCATTCACAGTGCGAACCGGCCTACACACACTCGTCACCTGTCATGGCGGCTGCACACAGTCGTTGGGGCTTTTGGGGCAGTACACCGATGGTTTCCAGATATAACCTGGGCTCAAATGGCACCCTAGCTGGCTTCCTACAGACTTAATCCTAAATCGCGACAGTCGGACGAGCACACAGCCCCCAAACTAGGACAGACGCGGGGTATAGATCGGTTTCAGGAGCAGCCCTAACACGTGTCCCGATCGGTTCCCAACCACACTTCATTCCCGCCGACTGGGTTATTCGGATAACTAAGTCAGAATGAAGAGTAAACCACACCGCAGACATAGTTACTCGTTCCAAGGGGTGAAATAATTAGGATAAGCAACGAGCAAGGGGGGTAAAGAAAGGCAGGAAGGGAGGGAGTCACGACCTGGGGGGCGGTGGCTATGTCCTGGAAACGCCAACTGAAACGGAGGGAGTGATCGCAGTGGCTATATTCCGACATTTCAACACAATACTGCATCGCCTGCTGATAATTTCGAGTACTTCAACAACAAATACCGTTTAATGCGAACCATATATGTATGATCAGCGCGCTAATGCTAAACGATGCTAAAAGCCACCATCTCCACACCAGGGTGTAGACCGAGCCCAGAGGACTGACTCAGATAATCAAACGAATATGATGAGAAACTAGTTAAAATATTCTATTCATAAATAATGACACTTCATGTAAGAGAGCAACTTACCAGTGGGTCAATTATTAAAATAAGAATCGCTGATTTAGAAACGAGTGACTTGAATCACCTCTGCGGCGGCCACAAACACTAGCGGCTTCACAATGTGCTAGAGAGCTCGGTTACCGGTTTCAGCTCCGCAACCGAACTTGTCATCCCGCCCCCCAGTCGACTTCTAACCAATAAACAAATACCAACAAAGTTCCATGACTCATCCACGAATCGAGTACAGCTACCGCAAGAGTTGCCCAATTCTGATAGGCTACATTACTACCTGAATTTCTCAGGAAACCGGATCATATTACACTAGAGGTTGCGGGTGCGTTATTTTCCTCAATATGTCGCCTAGCGGTTTATTTAGGTGCATTGTAATAGCTTCGACGCTTGGGGGCGACAAAACTGCATTCGGTATCTGAACTGATCTAATTGAAGTGAATGACTCATCACACTATGCAGAATATGCTTTCAGTCAGTCCATCCATCCATTATCTGTACCGCTTTTTCCTGAATAGGGGGCTGGAGCCAATCCAAGCTGACGCTGGGTGAGAGACGGGGTTCACCCTGGACAGTCTGTCACAGGGCTGACATGCAGACAAACAACCACACACATTCATACTCACTCCTTTACAGTCACCAGTCAACCGAAGCTGCATGTCTTTGGACTGTGGGAGGAAGCTGGAGCACCTGGGGAGAACCCACCTGGGGAGAACCCACACAGGCTCAGGGAGAACATGCAGACTCCACACAGAAAGGCCTGGGGTCGGCCGGGACTCAAACCTGGAATCTTCTTTTTAATATTCTTGTTTTTCTATAATATTTTACTTAATTAATCAAAAAAATATAGTTTTTTTTAATTAATTGTGATGCTTACAAATGTATTTACTTGTAATTGGAATCCTCTATATGTAAGCAGTCATTCCAGTAAAACTTACCAAAATTGAAAATTGAACTGAACTGAGCTAAAATAAAAGACCAGATATCGGTAACCTCTTTACGTGGATTACCAAAAATCTGGGGTCTCTTAGAAGCTGCTTTCTGCAACTATGAGCTCAGAGCAAAAGAAGAATATCGCAATGTTGTCAGAAGTCATTATATCATAAGAGAAGTCAGTGAATGTGGCCAGTATGTAGTTTCCACATACTGTAGAAAGAAAGAAAGAAAGAAGTGTTAGACTTTTGGAAATATGACTTTAAAGGTGAAATCTGGAACTTTCCACATGTTGTCACCATCTGCAGCAGTGAGACGTCTACATCAGGAGGCAGATGTCGACGCCTGCTGTTTGAATCAGAGAAAAATATATCTACAAGAAATAAATGAAACATATTGAGTTTATGCCTGGTTCTGAAGTACTATGTCTTGAAATCTGTTTGTTTTTTTAAAGGAAATTCATCAGCACTGTCAACCTGAACAGGTGCATCCCTCGGTATCACAGTCTTCAGCCACCATTAATGTGTGAGATGATCACAGCACACTTCACAAATTAAACAAACACATTTTAGCAATATACCAGCTTTAGACCAGACTGGGACCCTGCTGCAAGTCTGAGCCTGAGATCATTATCTGAGCAGCTCTCAGCAAGGTCTGCCAGCGAAAAGGCTGTAAAATCAAACGCCCTTTCATTTCCAGTGAAGAAAAACCTGAGCTACATTGCAGCACCTTGCTCTCCCTTTGTTCCCCCTCTCTTTAAAAAAAAACCTGCTGAGGCTGAGAGGAGGGACTTCAGGCTTTGTGCACGAGGCTCAGCTGTTGTTTCACATTCTTGACACAGGAGTCTGGATGCACCAGTGCAGATGGTAACAGGGTGCTCCATCTCTCCCTCTGCTGTCTCCCAGGGGACCATGAGCACCGAGGAACACATAATGCAGTAACTTTAACCCACAGACAGGAGATGCTGGACAGTTAAAGCTTGAGTAGTTATATTGTAAAGTGCTCAAGCTTTGCAGTTCTTGCATTTTGCTTCACTTTGTTTTGTGGCTCTTTTAGGCACATTTCAAACAGACTTGTACGTACATGCTTTGTTAAGGTTCATGGCCAAAAAAAAAAGAATAATATTAAATAAAGTGTCCTTACTGTAGCATAGTTTAATTTGTTTAGGTTTGTTTGGAAGATCTGACACCTTTTCTTCATGTCACATGTTTCACATTTCTGGGGTTTATTTAAAGGGCCACACACTCTCACAGTACACGAATGGTTTCACAATTTCTTTGGTTAAAAACGCGTCAAATTCAAGGAGAGCTGCTGTGTGCTGATTATTTTCCATGAGAAGCGACAACATGAAAACATCACAGCTTGAAGTTTGAATGCTAAATGAACATCTGACACACTGTGAACGGTGAGTTTTCCTGCTTGAATAACAACAGTGGAAGCCAACTGCTTGTGGATAGCCCATGATTTTACTGCCATCTGAGTATGGGCACCTCAGTAAATTCCCAGCACAGCTCTGATGGTTAAATAAAAAGACTGAAAACACCTGTGTGATGCTGCAGTTTGCAGAATGCCAAATAACGTGTCTGTTGCAGCTCAGCACGGAAACGCAGTCCAGGGAAACACAAAGGGAGACTTGTGTACTGAGAAGATCCAGACTGGATTTGTCTGGATCAGGCTTCAGACATATTTTGTCACAGGAATGTGGATTTTATCCCACAGCACTTCCACTGGAAGCATGTTATTTAATCAGGCAAGACAAATCTGCTTCAGTATACATATGGACAAAAACTAAATCTTTTCTTGCTGACCTCTCTAGTGAAAGTCTGACCTACAGCCACAGCCAACAGTGACATCGCAGTGTACCAACACCGCCTGTACATCTACGTCACTGCAGCAAGCTGAGAAGTTAAAGCACTGGAGGTCAGTGGCAAAAAAGGTTTTGAGGAGGTGCTTGAAGTGTGATCACAATTCATTTCAATTTGTTTTTGCCTCTAGACAAACATGATTTTCACTTGGTTTATTTCCACCTTTATAGTTTCATGATCGGTTTCGATATTGCGAGGGTGTCATGAGCCTGAGTGTTGGTGAATTTGTTAAGTCCCCAGATTCTACAGTTACCATTCAAATGTTAACACCGATATTTTTACATTGTAGCAACTCAGTTTAAAAAAAGCTTTTAAAGAATTAAGACTTTAGATTTCATTGAAATTCTGACAAACTAGAGAAGTGCCTTCATAAACAGTGGTATCTTCTCAACTCATAGGGTGGAATAAATAACAAGGAAGAGGCTGAGCAGAATTTCACAAGCCTGCAGCATCTGCACTTTGGGCATCTGGCTCCACACAGGAAATAACACCAATACTGATGATGGCTGAGGGAAATGAGCAAGAGTACACGTGCTGCAGGAGAGGCTGTTTGAGCAGCTTGGCTTTTGTTGGATCAGCATTCAGAGACACATAATACATGAGAAGTGACGCCCATAGGATGAGACATGAGGATGCACATCTTCTCAAGAGATTTTTCTATTTCAAAGCCCAAGAATGACAATAAATTGACACTCCATTTCTTCTATAGAGTGAAATATGGTCAAATCTTCCTTGTAAATAAACTGGTTTCCTTATGATTCATAGTGCTGGTCTTCTGTGAGATCGCCTCAACCAAAATTCCTTGGCAGAGCAGAAAGAAAGGGAGATATGAATGCATGCAGAGATTTCCAGATCTTTTCATAGACTTTTATTCATGGAAAGAGTTTGGTCATGCCCTCAGTGTCAGTAGAAACATGACAACTATGAGAAAAACTCTCAGCCTGCGAGATTTCCCGCCTCCAATGTCCAAACAACAAATCCTCAACTGCTTTAAAATATCAGTACACACGTGCCCTCGTCTGGGACACAGAATCTGTATGGAAAATAAAAATAAACACCTTTTATAGCAGTAGTCAAAAGCTCAAATACCAAAATACACACAAAATGACCATAAATGAGTCCACCACCAAAAGAGTGCAAAAACTAAACAGCTGTTTTGTAGAAAGCAAGCAGGGGGAGCATTTATTTAGAAACTTTATTTTTGACTTTACAGTTTTGTTTCCTCAAGATAATGGGTCAAATTGATCTCTAATTAAAACCACCAACAAATTGTAGCATATATATATAATATTGTCAACAATATACATTTACATCAGAGGTCTTCGGTTTTCTTTACTGGGTGTTTTGTTCGACACACAAGAGAAGCTGCATGAATACATGATGGTTAGTACAGATTGTGCACATTTCTTTTTGTAATCTTTTTGTAGTGGTATAGGTAGGAAATGTCGTTATTCAAAAACAAACTCATTTGTAATTAGCACCATTACTACGATTTTCTTTAATTTAGGGATCAGCACCTTGTCCTGTTAGTAGCAACTAGGAGTCATCATTGTGCTGCTGGACTGAACGGCTTAGATGACCATGGCTTTGTCCACATCCTCTGCAAACGCAAACACACAAAATATCCATCAGTACAGACAGATACGGTGATCTGTCAGGGCATAATGAAATAGACAATAACTAATTAGTTAGTGGAAGAAAACATTATTGGATTTATTGAGGTCATTTTTGCCATGTACGACGTATAGAGTCCTGAACCTGGTACAACTGTTAGTTAAATAACTGAACAGTGTATAAAAGCAAATGCAAAACCTCACAGCTGTGGCGTAATCCTGTCCAAATATGGCAACACAAGGCCTAGAAGGTTTGCAGTAATCTGAGGTTTTGGACTAAAAAGTGCCTGTGAACAGATTCTAGTGAAGCAAACAATATTTGAAAGTCTCAGTTTTGTTGCTGAAGGACTGACACCAGAAGTGACATTTACTGTGGATTATTCAGACAATTTTAGACAACTCTGATAACTGATTCTTTGTTTATCTAGCAAACATGCCAGATGAAATGTAAAAATGTGCTGTCTTCCTTCACAGTAAATCAAATTTTGGACTATTTGGACTTTTGGACAGACAAACAAGAAATCTGAAGACCTCACCTGAGGAGATCTTTTACTTTTTTCAAAGAAATAAACAACTGATTAGTTAAAATACCATCAACAGAATAGTTCTGCAACTAATCTTCACTAAAACTGTGACAAACTTATTCCAGGAGGATGAACAATATCCACAGTACTTACACTATAGGATATTAAAATATATTTTGCTCTAAGTTTATTATTTATTATTACCATAAACATATTCATGGGCAAACTCGGCACTGTATGTTTTTGACCTGATGTGTCTGTACTCACGGTCCTTGATGCCGAAGCAGGCGGCCCACTCCTCCAAGGCAATGTATTTGTCATTGTCGGCATCGCACTGCTCGAAGAAGCGAGTGGTGCAATGCTCCATGGGAATGAGGGGGGCACGCAGGGGAGCGAGCTCTGTGTGGGTCAGGTATCTGGTGGTACACACACATTAAAACAAACAAACACATATAAACATGTTATATGTAACTTGGAAAGTCTTAGTTAATGCAGCATTAATCAGCACAGTGCGCATGGATTTGTCTGCTTTATTAGTACAAAGAGTAAAATTCCGTATATAATTCTTCCTCCCAAAATTCACACCTGGACTGTCAGTATAACTTTTCCATTGAGGAAATTAGGAAATGGTCACCAGCCAACAGGAAAATGCCAAGATATTTGGGCTGTGGCTGGTGCATTAGCATCTGTTTTTAGGATAACTAAGAGAGCAGCAGCTGGTGGACTGTTTTCTGTGGTGTGAGATCAGAGGCCACACAGGAAACCAGTCAGCTACCAGTCTGCCAGAAGCTCCACCGCCTAAGATAGTTTAGTTTGCCAGCTCTTACATGTGCTGACTCTGCCAAGTCAGAGCAGAACCTGTGATATCTGTCTGGTTTCCTTTTGTCTTCTCTGTGTACGTACCCATCGACGGGGTGCTGGTCGAGCTGACCGAACTGCCAGTGCACAGGGAAGATGTACATGTTGTAGTTCTTCTCGAAGTCATGGGCCAGCAGGTCCAGAGAGTGCTCACCAGCCTGCAGCCTCTTCTCATTCTCATAGATCTTCTTTGCCTGAAGGACACAACAGACTAGAAAATAACTCATCAGCTCATCTTAGTGAGCTATAAAACAAATTTACTGTGCTGAGTGTGAGGAGTGCAGAGCGTAAACACACGTCCAGTGGATCCATAAAGGTGTTTAGGTGTGTTTCAGTCATATAAACATTCTGAAAGAGTTTGGAATAGACTTTATGCTTTACAACCTAAAAACCATCCTCTGCAAAGTTCGATTTAACTTGAGTTGTACTGAATATTTTAGAAATCATTTCTACTGGAGTAAGTCATGTTTTTGTTTATCTCAGTGCTCTTCCTGTAACAAACCTCATGGATGTTTGAGGAAGTGAAATGCTTGGGGTCCTGGGACACACCAGTGACAGTCAGCCAATCAACATCCTACTCTGATTAAATATGAATCAGTTCCTACAGCTCAGGACATTCTTTGCTGACTCACCCTGAGCTTCTGCTTCTCGGTCAGGAGGTTGTTGTCCTCGTCGCGCTCATACAGGGTCACCAGAACATTCTTCAGCCAGTCCCTCATACGCAGGGGGAATTCGTTCAGCTCGTTGTCCAGGCAGGGCTCAATGTCTGCAGGAGGACAACTCTGTCAGCATGAGCAACCACACAGAGGATTTACCTTTCAGTGAAGACGACCTCCAGCTCTAAGATAACCATTTCAGAAGCAGCCAGTGAAGCGGAAGCAATTAGAGATTTGGGATGCATTGTGACAAAAATTAAATGTAATATAAATCACTTTAATAACACAACTTGTGTTTTATAAGCTTTTGTTTCCAGCCCCCTGTGACCTAAAGGGTAAGTAGTGTAAACACCTTCCTAGGAAGGCGCCCAGGAGGCATCCGAAACAGATGCCCAAGCCACCTCAGCTGGCTCCTCTCGATGTGGAGGAGCAGCGGTTCTACTCTGAGCTCCTCCCGGGTGACCGAGCTCCTCACCCTATCTCTAAGGGTGCGTCTGGCCACCCTGCGGAGGAAGCTCATTTCAGACGCCTGTATCCAGGATCTTGCCCTTTCGGTCATGACCCAAAGTTCATGACCATAGGTGAGAGTCGGAACATAGATCAACCAGTAAATCGAGAGCTTCACCTTACAGCTCAGCTTCTTCTTCACCATGACGGACCAGTACATCGACCACATTACTGCAGAAGCTGCACCGATCCTGTCAATCTCCCGTTCCATCCTTCCCTCACTCATGAACAAGACCCCAAGATACTTGAACTCCTCCACTTGAGGCAGGAACTCTCCACCAACCTGAAGGGAACAAGCCACCCTTTTCCGACTGAGAACCATGGCCTCATGGTTCACTATGTGAAACTGCCGACTGATGCAACCACTGCACAGTGGTGCATAAAACATCTTGAACTGGTTCAGATCAGTGTAAAATGAAGGCAGACTCTGAGCCTGTTCAACAGCCAACGACACAATTATTCTGTTTTATTTTAGAGTATGAAACACAACCTTGATCTCCATTTGAACCCTTCAGCCCTGGCTCATTTGCACAGTGAGTAAGCATCATCTTCAGTTTAAACAGTGGAAGAAATGCAGCCTGCATGTCCGGACGGATTCTCCCGTCACTGAGTTGCAGCCTGCAGCTCGGCCTCACCCACCAGTGTGCGGCAGAGCAACGAGTCAAGACACTGAACATGATGCACCTGATCAGCAGAAACCATATGACCCCAAAACAACGCTGATGAGGAAGACAAAAACACAAAACTCATAGACTGCAACTAAAGATAATGCAGCAAACACAGTTAGAAACAAAGGCAGAACAGTGAGAATTTAGCTTGGATTTTCATGAAAATCCTGCAGCATTCCCAATAACGAGGAACAATCATGGTCTACTCTTGTCCTTTCTTTTGTAAAATCTGTCCACACATTTTGAAAGGAGGATGATCCCCCCCTCCAACAGCTGAACTCTAACTGAGTCAGACCAAATGGAGTGCTAACAGCTCTGGGAAAGAAATGAACAGCTGAATATTTGCTGTAACTCAAAAAGGACTTTGGGTTCGGATGTGGAGTTTTTCTACCATGGTCAAACATTTCTGAAGCAAAATGTGAGAGCTCACATTTGCAGGGTCCGATGTAGTCGAGGTGCAGCTTGTGGCCCTTCTTGGTTCCCTCCAGGGTGCACTTGGTGGCAAAGAAGTGGCATGAGGTGTCGTAGGTCTTGTTGTCAGTGCCACAAATCTGTGTAGGAAGACACAGAGTCATGAGTCCTCACAGCTCCGAGCTACTGGGTAATGATATTTCATGAATGGCTGTGCAAATTATATGAATGATCAGCATTAAGCTTCTGAGAGAGTGAACCCCTAAAGAGATTAGTGTCTCTGGTTTTAACCACAAAACATTTTAACTGCTTTAGTGCCTCATTTTCAGGAATGGAAACTGTCTTTGTTCCGTTTTAGTTCAAAATGATGAAATCTCTGTAAATGAGATCTAAACTGACAGATAAGTTTTGGTGCTAAAATTGCAGTCACAGGAGACAGGTACAAAAATGATTAATCCTCAAAAAGATTTGTTCTGCAATACCATCAGAACCAGATCTGTGGTTTTAGAGATTTCATGTTTACTAGCAGACAAACTGGGCTGACACTTGGTGATGAGTTTACATTTACGAGATACTTCAGAATTTATGGTCTTAGCACACGAGAAAGAAAAGTCAGGATGATTGGTTTTGAACTCACATGCTCGAACTCTCCCTCAGAAGCAGGGCAGGTGGAGGGGTCCTGGCACACACACATGGGGGTGTTGCTCTCATCGACCTCACACACTTTTCCCTTCTTGCAGACATGGTCCAGGCAAGGATCTTTGAAAAAATGACCATTATACAAGTAGGGTTACAGCCTGTTTGATTGGCTCCTGAGGTCAATATTGAACCGGTCCAGACCCCGTTATCTTCCAGTCCCTTGGTGAAGTGTTTTTGCCAGAAGAAAACTCAAAGCATTGCATTATTAAAAGTTTAAGAAGCAAAATGATGAAATCACTGAATAAACAAGAAAACTGTTATTAAAGAGTTTGTGCCTGAATGTAGCCAGTGTTTGTTTTAGAGGAAGGCTCTGCTCCTGGAAACGTCGCCTCATGAGAAACAGCAGAAGTCATGGAAATACACAGATGTTGAAGCTAAAAACGGAAGCAGACACAGGTTCGTTTCTACTTAAGGGACTCTGGTAATAACTGGCCTCTAGTGTGGACTCAGATATGTTTGTCAAGGAACAATATTTCTACTCACTGATTACATCGATTGTAATCCAACTTGTTAGTTATGTATAAAACAGCTCTTGATTTCTTCCTAGAGCTGATTATTTACTGTTTTTCTTGCTTTACATTAAAATATAAATACATGTGAGCTACTAGCTCCTCATTATTTTCATTTTGGGAGACTTCTCCGATTACATCCATACATTTCAGAGATAAACTGTATATAATTTAACCCAGTGTCTGACAACTGCAGGTTCAGTTTTTAACATCACGTGTATCATTTTATCTATTTTTCTTGCCTCCTTGCATTCCCTCTTTCTTCCTTTCCTCCTGTTGTAATTTTATTTTATTGCATTTTCATTATTTTATTATTATATTATTTCAATTTCAATGGAATGTAATTAATGACATGTTAACATGCATCAGGTTTCTGGATGTATTGTTAATTTAGTACTCTGAATGAGTAAATTGCTTCTTTAAATGAGCAGCATACTGCTTTCATTTCTGTTTTTTTTTTGTGTTTTATTACCAATGTTATTTCTATTGAGTCTACATGTGAAATAAAATATAAACTTTATATTGTTATTTTGTCTTGAAATACTCTTAACTTTTCATCTTCACTGAATTATCTCACATTTACAATTTACTCTGTCCAAGCATATCACTGTTATGATCATCTATGGTTCACTATGTGAAACTGCCGACTGATGCAACCACTGCACAGTGGTGCATAAAACATCTTGAACTGGTTCAGATCAGTGTAAAATGAAGGCAGACTCTGAGCCTGTTCAACAGCCAACGACACAATTATTCTGTTTTATTTTAGAGTATGAAACACAACCTTGATCTCCATTTGAACCCTTCAGCCCTGGCTCATTTGCACAGTGAGTAAGCATCATCTTCAGTTTAAACAGTGGAAGAAATGCAGCCTGCATGTCCGGACGGATTCTCCCGTCACTGAGTTGCAGCCTGCAGCTCGGCCTCACCCACCAGTGTGCGGCAGAGCAACGAGTCAAGACACTGAACATGATGCACCTGATCAGCAGAAACCATATGACCCCAAAACAACGCTGATGAGGAAGACAAAAACACAAAACTCATAGACTGCAACTAAAGATAATGCAGCAAACACAGTTAGAAACAAAGGCAGAACAGTGAGAATTTAGCTTGGATTTTCATGAAAATCCTGCAGCATTCCCAATAACGAGGAACAATCATGGTCTACTCTTGTCCTTTCTTTTGTAAAATCTGTCCACACATTTTGAAAGGAGGATGATCCCCCCCTCCAACAGCTGAACTCTAACTGAGTCAGACCAAATGGAGTGCTAACAGCTCTGGGAAAGAAATGAACAGCTGAATATTTGCTGTAACTCAAAAAGGACTTTGGGTTCGGATGTGGAGTTTTTCTACCATGGTCAAACATTTCTGAAGCAAAATGTGAGAGCTCACATTTGCAGGGTCCGATGTAGTCGAGGTGCAGCTTGTGGCCCTTCTTGGTTCCCTCCAGGGTGCACTTGGTGGCAAAGAAGTGGCATGAGGTGTCGTAGGTCTTGTTGTCAGTGCCACAAATCTGTGTAGGAAGACACAGAGTCATGAGTCCTCACAGCTCCGAGCTACTGGGTAATGATATTTCATGAATGGCTGTGCAAATTATATGAATGATCAGCATTAAGCTTCTGAGAGAGTGAACCCCTAAAGAGATTAGTGTCTCTGGTTTTAACCACAAAACATTTTAACTGCTTTAGTGCCTCATTTTCAGGAATGGAAACTGTCTTTGTTCCGTTTTAGTTCAAAATGATGAAATCTCTGTAAATGAGATCTAAACTGACAGATAAGTTTTGGTGCTAAAATTGCAGTCACAGGAGACAGGTACAAAAATGATTAATCCTCAAAAAGATTTGTTCTGCAATACCATCAGAACCAGATCTGTGGTTTTAGAGATTTCATGTTTACTAGCAGACAAACTGGGCTGACACTTGGTGATGAGTTTACATTTACGAGATACTTCAGAATTTATGGTCTTAGCACACGAGAAAGAAAAGTCAGGATGATTGGTTTTGAACTCACATGCTCGAACTCTCCCTCAGAAGCAGGGCAGGTGGAGGGGTCCTGGCACACACACATGGGGGTGTTGCTCTCATCGACCTCACACACTTTTCCCTTCTTGCAGACATGGTCCAGGCAAGGATCTTTGAAAAAATGACCATTATACAAGTAGGGTTACAGCCTGTTTGATTGGCTCCTGAGGTCAATATTGAACCGGTGCAGACCCCGTTATCTTCCAGTCCCTTGGTGAAGTGTTTTTGCCAGAAGAAAACTCAAAGCATTGCATTATTAAAAGTTTAAGAAGCAAAATGATGAAATCACTGAATAAACAAGAAAACTGTTATTAAAGAGTTTGTGCCTGAATGTAGCCAGTGTTTGTTTTAGAGGAAGGCTCTGCTCCTGGAAACGTCGCCTCATGAGAAACAGCAGAAGTCATGGAAATACACAGATGTTGAAGCTAAAAACGGAAGCAGACACAGGTTCGTTTCTACTTAAGGGACTCTGGTAATAACTGGCCTCTAGTGTGGACTCAGATATGTTTGTCAAGGAACAATATTTCTACTCACTGATTACATCGATTGTAATCCAACTTGTTATTTATGTATAAAACAGCTCTTGATTTCTTTATGTTTTATTACCAATGTTATTTCTATTGCTTCACTGTTAACACGTCTAATTCAGCTGCCATCTTCTAGTACTTTGTGTTGTACTCCTGTTTAACCCATGTAAAGCACACTGTATCTTTGTTTTGAAATGTGCTGTATAAATAACACTATCATCATTAATCACATATCACTGATACCTTTGAAAATGAATAAATCTTCCAACTCTCTAGAGGCAGGACAAAAAGTCTCATCCAGCCGTGTACAGTTTGTACAGTCAGGCTATTTCCTTCTGCTGCTGCTGGATGTGGCTGAACTGGTCATTAAAACAGGGTGGAACCTGTAATTACAGCCTGGTCCTCACAGCACCAGGCAGTCTGTCATTATAACCACTTCATTTACCAGTGGAAGGCTTCACTAAATCCCCAGGGCAGAGCAGTGAGATGCAGCTAAATCAAATGTTGGCACACTGTATGAACAAAGGTAACACACGTGACACACACGTTTACCCCTGGAATAACTGAAACATCCATAACACAAAGGATTTTCTAATTAAGTGTTGATCTTTTTCTATGCCAGTTTTATATTCTACATTTGTTACTTGCTTAAAAAATAAATAAATAAACAGGACATACTGCAATAGTTTGTCTTAAAGTCATCAAACGCACATGAATAAAAAATAATTTATGTTAATAAAAATGCTAATAAAATGCTGTGAAGCAACATTTGAGGCTCAGTTTATTTTTAATTTAAATAATAATAATAATAAGTTCACACACACTGTGAGAAATTCCCAAGCATTTGGAGGCAAACGATAGATCAGATGAAAGATTTGTGGTTAAAATGTTCTGGGTGAAGATTACGCTAGTCTTTGACATGTAGTGATCACTGTCAAGTTAGGGTAAGTCTCCTGGGAGTCAAGTCAACGCAATGTTATCTTGTGTGACACAAGCACATTTGTGTACGTGTGAATAGGAACTTACTCTCAACGACGTCTTCAGCAACCTCAATGGCCTCATCAAACTCTCCAACCTCAACCTGCACTGGGTTGGACCCCACCTCAGTCTCCTAGAGGACACCAGAGGTCAGAGGTCAGACTGTGAGCAGATACACTGTCTCTAAAGCATACCGCTGGGCACAAAGAGACATCTGCAACTGTCCCAGTCTGGTAACACCCTCTCTGAATTTGCTCTAGCTGATCATTTTCATGCACATCTTCAGGTCTATTTTTGTACGACGTCCACTTAAACCAAAGCCTCTTAAATATATTTGGTGTTCCTGAAAAAAAAACTTTAAACGTCACCACTAAAGAAGGTTCCTCCCTGAAGTCCAAACAGAGTCTGGGAACAGCAAGACCATAATATCCAACAATAACAAGCAGCTGGGTCACATGTGGTGAAGCCACGGAAAGCGTAAAGGCTTCCTGACTGGCTGGCCAGCTAAAATTAACAGCTGTGGGATCTCTGGTCCCACTGGACCTTGGGAGCAGGAAATGAGCAAATGTCCACATGAATGCTCAGAGATTTGCTACAAGGGTATTTATGAATTTCAGCCCTGTTTACAACAGTTTATGGAGGACACTGTCTCTCCTCCTAATACTGCAGATCAGGGTAGTGTATGAAGGGTTGTGTGTTTTCATTTATCTCTGTTTGCTGGAAAGATTTAGTAAAAAGCCTCAGAGGTAACAACTGGATTTGGGTGGAATATAGAACAGATTGGTAATAATCCAGATGTGATTAATAGAATTTGCCCTTGTGGAGCAAACTGCTCCAAGGACATACTGTAAGTCAGCTGCAAAACACAACATCATGTTCACTTGCAGAGGAGGCAGCTGTGCTAAACTTTAGAGCTGCTCAGAAAAATGTTACCAGTGTACTGAAACTGTTCAGATTGTGCCACAAGATGTTCTGCAGAGAAATCAACTAAATCTACCATGACAAAAGACAAGTCACCAAGTTGGTTGAGAGATAAAAACAATAAAAGAAACATCTGTTGAATCGCCTCTGATTATCCACAGCAGCTGTGAAAATCCAACCCAGTCTCCGAGGCATTGTGTCTATGTACGGCTAAAGTGCAAGAGCGTGTTTTGTAGGAAATGTAACTGGTTTACACTTAGCATAACATTAACATGATGACAATATGTTTTGAAAGAATGTATCTGGCAAATATGTTGATACTGAATGTCCCAGTAAAGTGTTCACAGAAGTGATTTCTTTGCTGGCAAAATATCGGATCTCTCAGTAGCAACCACAGCATTATCAAACCCTTTAGTGGTTTAGACACTCACAGGGTTTGGCTAATATTCTGTTGTGGTTTAATATAGAAGAGGTTCACAGTGACTTCGTCTAATTTACTGATGAAGATCATGTGAAATGATGAGTTTATGTAACTGCAAGAATTTCTAAGGATTGTTCAACAACTCTTAGGATGAACATCTGGACTGACCTCAACAACTGGCTCCTCTGGCACTGGCTCTTCCACAATGGGCTCCTCCTCAGCCTGAGACACACACACACACACACACACACATTAAACCTTGAAAACACTTTTGGATCATACGTGAAGGAAGTCAGAACCAGACAATGATCTCCCTCACGTGTCCACACACACACATTAGCACACATGAAACATTCACACAGCTTGAATCATACACACAGCACGTGAACACAAAGTTAGACCAACTCTCGGGTGAACAATTGGATTTAGGAAAACAAACATTTCTTCCTCACACACTTGCGTTATGGACACACATCCACACAGAGACAGGAACTCCACGTAGATAAGAAAACACAAGTACCATGCACACACACTCACACAGTGACTCACATTCTCTCACAGGATAGGAGGAGAAACATCAGAAGGACACACAAAAAGAGGGACCAAAGACCTGGCATGAAACACATTTGTGCCTCTATCTTTGTGAGGACACCCCTAGCCCCTAACCCTGACCTTGACCACCACAGTTAAGTGTCTACCCCGAACCCTAACCCGAGGACTCAGCCTCTGAAGGTGTGAGGACTGGACAACAAGACCTCGCTCCCATGGTATAAAACTCTGCTCCTCATGATATATAGTCATACAAGTACACACACACACACTGAGGCAGTGTAACTTACAGGAGCAGCCATGGCGCGGCCAGCCAGGCACAAGAGGAAGATGATCCACACCCTCATCTTCAAAGTCTGTGGAGACAAACAAAGTGACAGGTGAACCTATGTTTCTTTGGTTTAGATTTCCCTCTAATATTCACACAAACAAAAATGCTTATTAAGCAAAAGCCCATCCATTTAAATTTGGTTTTATTCTTGTTTTCGCAGATACTTTCCAGAGAACAGCAGTGAGCAGATGTGAGAGGAGGACAGCAGTCTGAGGTATAACTCACCTAATCAACATCCTGTCAGTGTAGTCATGTTTACCCTTTCTGGACCAAGTAATATTGTCCCCAAAATTTAACTCAATCTGAATTTAATGAGTGTAATTTACCGTTAAAAGGCAAGAAAGACGATTAAAAACAACAGAATCAAAGGGTGAAAAAAAGTCCTGCTACTGCATTATAATACTGGAACTTTGTCATTTATAAAAGGCACAGGTTTCCTGTGAGATGTGGCTGCTGTGGAAGTGACTCCCAGCGACTTCCTCTCCTTCCATCTGGCTGTCTGCTGTCTGTCTTTCTGCTTCTCTTCCTTCGTCATGTCTCATCTGACAGACTAAATAAAGGCTTCATTGTTTGGTAATGCAGCACAGCACTGCTTGGTCTTCCTCTCTCCTCTATTATTTATCTCCCGCTTCACCTCCATAACTCTTGTTTTATTCATGTGCTTATTTGCATTTTTGGGATGATATCAAGAAAAGAGTCTGTATCACTGGTCTCTGCTGAGTTTTTACTCCTCATGCGAGGTAATAACAGTGAAGTGAGCAGACACTGAACCAGAAAATGAGCGCTGCAGGATGATAAGAGTTACAAAACAGAGCCGTGCTCTTTGAATTCCTGCACCTGCTAAAAGGACAGTAGGTTCAAACCCACAATACATGAACACAGCTAAACAACCCAGTCTTCTCAAGAAACATTAAAACCTGTGCATTTCTTTCAAGATGTGCAACAGTTTCAACACAAACACCAAAAAACTGCAGATGAATGCTCTCAAAAACATTGTCTGAAAGGAAACTGAGCTTAGGGAACATTTCTGCCACCACTTGCGTGGTTGCTGAGAGTCCTAAAAATGCAAGAGAACCTCTTGACATGAAGCATCTGAATAGGTCAACATGTTTGGGCACATGCAATGAAAAGAGTAAACATTATCCACCAGAGGTGAAAGAAAACAAGAATATTCTGTCATATGCACAAGTAAAAATGTATTTACTGGTCATCTACGTTTTTCTTCTGCTGCCACTCTGGTGTTTGAAGGTTGGTCCAAACTGATTGTATGACATGTAGCATCATTCTGTGGGTACAAGTTTATTTATCAAATAAGACCATCAGAATGTGCCTGGGGAGTCATGTCATCCTGAAGTGACACACGTCAGAACTCTGCTTGTAATTTACATGGTAGCATTTAAAGAAGACGTCTCCCAGTTCACATCGGTCCTGTATGTATCTGATATTTTTATACTTTAAACACTTTTCATTCTGGTTACTGGTTTACAGAAACCTCACTCTTTTATTTTGAAGAGTAGAGGTTCTGAAGTTTTATTTCCTACTACAGCAGTGTGTGTTGCTTTTCCTCACTTCCAAGGCTTCTGATATATGTGTGATGATACGTTACTTTAATGCAGCGTAAAGTAAATTTATGGTGCTCTTACATTTTGGTCAAGCTAAGGTTTGATTTATTTTTTTGCATAAATCTGCTGATAGGTTTGCTGAGGCATTTGTATAGCTGTGACCACTGTGTAGCCTACGGTGCTGACCATGACCACGTTGGCTAACAGGGAGTATCTTGTGACTTTGTTCATGGTGTTAGAAAGGCACAAAGATGAATATCACAATAATTATATCAATATTTTGTGAATACATTATCAAAAAGGATCCTACAAATGTTTGATCCAAGCTTCCATGCATGCAGCACGAACAGTTGCTGATTTTACAGCCACTGCATGCTACACCAGCTGTAAACTGTGGTTGCACTGCAGAACAATGAGGAAAAACCTCTGCAGAAAGAGAAGTCTGAAGACAATGAAACTGGAAAGTAACACGATTATTGTTGCATTGTTCTTTTTGACCTTTTAAAGGGAATTCTGTGTTTAATGTAGAGTCAAGGGAACTTCTACAGCGGTGACCACTGTTTCTGAAGGTCCAGAGATGGTGAGAAGTATGGACGTGGAAAAATACAGAAACTCTGGCAGAGGACACAAACATCTCCAAATAACCTACACACAAGGACACTTCTCTGCACCTTTTAAAAATCTCAGTAAAAAAAAAAAAGAGGTGTGCTAATGGGAAATTTCGTAAAAAGAACCTCTGACATACACATAACTAGCGTGTCCGACAGAGTGAGAGAGCTGAAAGTGATCGCAAAGATGGGAAAATAAAACCTCACTTCCAGCATGCGGTCAGTGTTTGAGTTGGATGCACATGGTGTTCCCATCGTATGTCCGCTGTAACATAGTCATTCAGCTCAGCTCGGCAGGACGGAGGAGGCCGGACGGACTGACGTAACAGCAAAACAAATTATTTTCTTTGGAAAGCTGCTTTCATAATCAAACAGGCCTGAGGCTAAAAGGGAAACTTCAGGCTCATAAAGGGGCCCTTCTTCCCTCAGATGTATGTAATTTGGAGGTTAGTTAGGTAAGGAAGTGTAAACTTACTATGAAGGAAAATAACCTGGACTATAACTGCTACTAAGACAGATCTCTCCCTCACATTTTCATCCATCTATTTTTTTCCGTCTCTCTCTCTCTCTCTCTCTCTTGCTTCTGCGTCTTTAAAGGGAACAAACCTAACAGAATTATTTCTTCTTGTTGTCAGTGACATCACAGGTGGGTTTGGAGGCCTGGAGAAACAACATGTAGCAGCCTGTCTGCTGGCAAACAGTGCAGACAAACAACACTGGTGTGCAGAAAACCGTGAACAGTGGTTTCTTCTGTTTGTCCTGAGATTAGGTGGAGGAAGATCCTAGTTAATGTTATTAGAACTGTGAGGATTCACTGATTGACAGGAGATTCATCTGGCAGTGGAATAATTATTGTCTGTCAGACTGTTGGCTGGACAAAACAAGACATCATTGGGCTCTTTTTTTAACCTTTTTTTATGGACAAAACAACTGATTGATGAATTAATGAATGTAATTGGCAGATTAATAAAGAAGAAGACATAGTAGAAGATAATTGCTTGTTGTAGTCCTAAATGAAATACCGTCAAATCTGAGGTTTCTGAAATGCTGTATAATGTACGTGAACTACAGGACAATGCACAGCTGTAAACAAAAATGTGTATTTAAAGCTGCGATTTAAAATGTTTCTTCTGGTTTGTCTGGAATCTGGAAGCATGAAGAATTTTTTTGAAGTGTGCACCACTGGGCAGCTTTCAGAAGTCCAGGTCTCCTTTGTACATCCATGGATATTTTGGTTTGACTTTTGCATATTGGTAGGAAGTGGCGACGCATAGTCTATTTTTGGTTTGAACATAGGCCGACTGTATTCTCTAAATCTCCTGAGCTCTTGACATAACTGCAGGCAATCATTCAAAACAAAGGGGATTTAAAAGTGACAAAGTATAAACTTTGCTGAATATCAGCCTTGTGACTTTATTAATCTACTTACATGTGTTTTAGACTAAGAACATGTACCTATGCTGGTTGGATGGGTGGCTTCATTACAAACTTTTACCTCATTGTCTTTATCCAAGATTTGTCTTTTCAATAAGTGTTTTTCAGAGGTAATTTCTAATTTAACTGTTCAGTTCAAAGCTTGATCTTTGCAACCTGCAGTGACTATTTTCTTGTTCGAACATCAAGTCAGTGAAATCCAAGCAACAGGCAACAAGAGACAAATTCAGTTTGTCTCCAGAGAAGTGTTGGGTGCAGGTAAATCTCTTTAAGTTTCCTGGGCAAAGACTAGCTTTAGAGAGATCACCAGTCATCCTATCAGTCAGGAAACTCTGAGCACAAAGAGCACAAACAAGAAGACCAGAGTGGAGGGGAGTTCAGGGGAATCAGAGGACAAACGTCTGTGTCTGTTTCTCCTCTCTGACTCAGTTTTCCCCCTCCCCCTTCACAGGACAGATCTCCAGTTACTGGCTTTCCACAGAGTTTCACTTGACTTTGGGTGAAAAACCGTTTTCTCTCTGCATTTTGGTTGTATTTGTCTTTTCCCAGCTATTCTGCTATTTTTAAGGTCAAGGAGTCGTCTCTGCAAAATAAAAGCCAAATACATCTTGTTGTTCAGTCACTGGACATGCTATTAAACCACTGTAGAAAATACACCTAGTTCTCTCTTTAATTTGGCTTTGATTGCACTTTGCTTTTATCCTTGCTTTCCCCTTTTTTTTGTGGCTTTTTGCCTTATTGATATTAGTGATATTACACAGGACTGCATTTGTTCATCTTGATGCTACTTTCATCAGAAAACCAGGTAAAATCTGTTTAAAATGGCTTCTGTCATCTCCACTGACCTGTCCAGCTCTTTCTGTTGTATGTACATGAGAAATCAGCTCTTTGTGTCCACTGCTTCTGCCAGTTGCAGGAAAATGCAATAAACCACAACACTATTATATAAATGTACCTTTTGCTGCACTTAGCTTACTAATAACACTGATTCAGGCAGTTCAGAAATCATTTTCCATTAACTGTTCTGTCTGCTCACACATAAGGTGGTTTGTTTACAGTTTGTTTGAAATAAATAAAAGAGCTGTGAAGGTTAGCATGACCTGTGATGGCTAAACAGACAACAGAGCACTACCTATTCAAGCGAAACTCCAAACAGAAACAATCTTATGGTTCCACCTTCACTGCTTGATTAAGAGGGGATTTCTGGGAAGGTGGATGCAGCAATACGGTATCACCGAGCACCAAACATAGAGACAAATTAAAAATCAGGTTTCATCTTTTTTTCATCTTTAACAACAGAAAAAGTCTGAAGTCAAAGAGACTGAGCCACATTTATTTTCTCTAACACTAAATTCTTTCTCTGTTACCCCACAGTCTTATCTGCTGCTGCTGTCCCAGTCACACTTCTGCTCTCCTGCAATCTCTGGGTTTCTTGCCTTAGTTGTTTGTGCCCTATCAACTTTTTGTTTTGCTCTCACTCTCTTGACTCTTGCTGACACTGAACTCCAGGCTTTTCTTCTCCACGT